AGGAGGAAACACAAAAGTTACGATCTGGGAGGGTTATGCAATGCCATAATTGTGTGACACTTCCACATACAGCCCATACAACGATCATCCTTCCACAATTATCCCAACACTCAGCCGAAACAGATATTAATACATCAGTAAAATATAGTCAGTGAAGCTGAGGGAGAGGACAAATAAAAATCAGAATATTCCAGAATGTTAAAAAGGCTATGTAAGCAAGAAGATACGACCTTCTGTTTGCCCTAGAGTGCCATTAAATGGCTGGCACAGCAGCTGAAATACTCTCTCTGTGTGTGGGTACGTATATATGGGAAATGTTGTGCACACACACACACACATCATCTGGTTACTTCAGTATGAGCCTCTTCACAGCTCTGCAGTTGGTGTGTCCAGAACAGATCTTAGGATTCATGGGGCGGGATTCAGCTGTCACTCATCTTCTGCTTTGGTCTCAGCAGTTCAGTTTATGGTCTTACTCTCCATTTCCCTTTTCCTCGATTCAAATGGTTTACCATCTCTTTAACCTAGGATTGGCAAATGGGATACAAAGGGATTGTTGCAGCATTGATGGGCCATGAGGAAAAACAGCTGCCCCTTGCTGTACACTGTAGTTTTTCCAGAAGGGCAGAAATAGTTCTTATTTGGTTCATTTTTACACCTTTGCCCGAAAACAGTTCTTGTGTAGTTATGGATATGTGATCTACTTTGAGAGAGTGCACACTCCTAACTGTAACATGGATGCTTACCTGTGAACCCTATGTGAAATGGGGCCAGGGGTACTTTTCTGCCTGCCTAGCTGCACATAAAGTTTCTCTCTTCTGGGTTGCCGTATTAGCTGCTGAGTCAGGTTTTGACACAGATTGAGGGCGCAGCTACTTGGTTTATCGATACCTGTGGTATCTCAAGGCCTCACTTCCTGGACTCAGATCTCCAGCCCTGAATCACAGGTCATGGGATACTACTACCCTGGCAATTCTACTCCTAACCGTCTTGTTTGGGAGGCTGGGTCCAAAGTCTGGATAAACAAGATGAACTGAGCTATGGTTTACCTTCCTGGCAGTGTCCCCTCCAGCTGGTGCTACTGATGTTTAATTGTCTTTCTAATCTACCTGTTTTGGGTCATCGCGTGCTAAAACAGGTGCTTGGCATTCACAGGTTCCATGTCAAATCTCCAGGATAGGGCTAGGAAATCACTCTGCCTGAAAGGGTTGCTGCAGGCCAGATGTGTCTAGGTTATAAGCCAGCTGGTCTGATATGGTAGAGAGCTGGATTATGTCACAGGACGGAGAAATTGCACTCTGGTGACAACTCCCAAGAGAAGACTCCCTGAAAAAGACCCTGATGTTGGGAAAGAGTGAAGGCAAGAGGAGAAGGGGACAACAGAGGATGAGATGGTTGGACAGTGTCATCGCAGTGACCAACATGAATTTGACCCAACTCTGGGAGGCAGTGGAAGACAGGAGGGCCTGGCGTGTTCTGGTCCATGGGCTCACGAAGAGTTGGACATGACTAAATGACTAGATGACAACAACAACTCCCAGTCTCCTCCAGCCAACAAGGGAATTGCAATTTTTTTTAAAAAAGGAACCTTTCCAGACATTGTGACTTATAGAATAATGCCATTGAAAAATATCATTTATCCTGCCATCAATGCACAGCGACCTTCCTGTGAAAGCAGGCGGATTGACAATTACACTACACTTTTCTAGAGTTTTTTTTTCGTGGCAACTTCTGTCTTTTTTGTGGGAATCTTTTAATTCATACTTTTTAATTTGATCATCACTTAGCTGAATTCTAGTATTTATAATGTATTGTTTTTCATTGTATTGTCTACATTGTAGACCAGGCTTGTCCAACCTGCGGCCCGTGGGCCGCCTGCGGCCCAGG